CCCGACCAGACCCGACCCGACCCGGGCAGCCTGTGCCTTGCGCCCCCGCGCTCCGGTCGTGCCCGGGCCCTGCTGAGGGGGCGCTGCCGGGCCTCACCTCGCGGTGTCTCCCCCTTGTGCACTGCTGGGCGGCGGAGGCCTGCCCTAGACATGCACATAGAAGCTGCACTTGCATGTTAAGTTGTCTGTGAAAGGGCCCAGGAAAGCTGGGTGAAGCTGGGTCATTGCATGTAACAAGTTGCAGGTGCTTTTTGTGGCATAAGCTGTGGACTAACCAGGTCTTCTTCAGCTGCTGGAGTGTAATGTTGAGTTCCTGTAGCCTGCAGTATTTGGCTTAAGATCTGCCTTTCTTATCTATTGCTGCCTGAGAACAGGTAGACCCAGCAGAGTTAAGTCCTGGACTCTGGTCTTGGGCCAGGTCTGCGCTGCAGATCTGTGGTGTGTGGGTGTAGAGAGGTGTGCTGATAGAGCCATGCCAGCAGATGTGCCTGGTGCAGATTCAAGACATACTGGCAGAACTGGGTTTTTGCCACTAAAGCTTGTTCTGCTGGAGGAGGGGATGGAGGCGGTAGTTTTACTGCCAATCTGGCTGGTTTAGTATATAAATAAAGAGCTTTTGTTATAGATTTAGCACCAGAAACTGTGTGAGAACTTTATTGGTCAGGTGCAGTCTGGTTAAGAAAGGCTGTATTCTACTAGGATTACTAACGAAGCAGATAGTAAATTTGTGCTTGTGCTTTAATCTGTGCTGGAAATCAGGGACCCACAAGATACTGCAGAGACCCTCACCACAGAGCAAGTTTCCAGCTAAGGATCTGTGCTTACAAATGCATCGTAGTCCATATGAATAACCAAGGTGTGAGCCAGTAGCTAGCATAGGCCACTTAGCTCTCACCTACATCATTGCCTTTGTATGAAGAAGGAAGAGTCATTGATTTGTGATGCTTTTTCCCTCAGCTCTCGAATGATTGAGATCCAGACACAGATGTCACAGCGGGCAGTGGAGCTGCTGGGTTTGCCAGAGGATCAGCCGTGTTTCCTGTTGGATGTTGGGTAAGACAATACACGAGTCATGGAGTTGGAAGGATGCTGCTTCCTTCTTGCTTTCTTCCCTTCGGTCTTTGGGTTGCTGTTATAGGAAGACAGGACTCTGAGCTGCCAGAACTCTTGTTTTTTGTATTAGGAAAAATGCTGGCATTTTACGTAGGGTTTTGTCTGGTAGCATGGTGATGAACATGGCTCAGGCATCTGATCAACTTGTGCCCAAGGGCTTAATTTCGATTAATGTTGAGAGGTACATCTTGATTAGGTTAACATTACATCTTGGGTTATATGTGGAGGAGTTGGCTGTTTATTTCTACTGCTTTTGTAACCCTTGCTCTTTCCTTTTAGATGTGGTTCTGGTTTGAGTGGAGATTACATCTCTGAGGAGGGGCACTACTGGGTTGGCATGGACATCAGTTCTGCCATGCTGGGTAAGCAGATCCAGTTCTGCTCTATATCCAAGGGCTTGGACCTTCATGCTTTGACTAGGAGAGTACTGCCCATGCAGCAGACAGATGTTTCAAATCTTATGATGTGATCTGAAGGCACATGACAGGCTTCCTAATTATTTCAAGTTCTGTGCAGATGTGGCTGTGGAGAGAGAGGTGGAAGGGGACCTTCTTCTTGCAGACGTGGGACATGGTATTCCTTTCAGGCCGGGCACGTTTGATGGCTGCATCAGGTAAGGCTGTACATTTTTTTCATTATCTTCCTGTGGTTCCCAGAAACTCTACTGAACAGGGACAGACTTCTCTGTGCCTCCTTGTTAAGTGTTGTCCTTGCCACAGTACAGGTTGATTCCAGGTTGAGATTTGGACAGCTTTTGAATTGTAGTAGCTCACTTCAATTTGGGGGCAGCTATTGGAAAGTTACCTTCATGCACTTTGTGTCTCTCGTAGTGGTAGCCTGGGAAAACTGAGAAACCAATACTCAGAATGCTGAGGATGGACCCTGGAGGGGTTGGGCTGCTGATAACCAAGGCAGACAGGAGGAGCTGAAATACCCAGAGCTGAGCCCAGCATTAGTTGCTTGTGGGTGTTGGGGAAAGAGAGCTGCATATCTTATAGTTGGAAAGCTGGAGCTTCAAGGCTTGGTCATAGTGCTGCCCTTGAGCCCCACAGCACAGCTCCCTTGAAGGCTGGGGAAAGGTTTGCTTACGGAAGTGAGGTGTGGGGGGCACTGTTTACTACCTCAGAGTTGTTGTTGCATTCAGGTTCACTTGCTCAGAGTGGTGGGGGAGTAACTGCATTAACTGCACATGTGAATTGGGGCTACATTTGGGTTAATGGAGAAGCTGACCCTTAAGGGACATAGACCATCCAAAAGAGCTGTACTGAGATTCCTACAACCATGATATCAGGTCAAACACAGTGAGGAGGTACTAAGGCAGTGGTTCTTAACCTTTCTAGTGTCAGGACACACCTGCCAACTTTTGAATTTGGTGGTGTCCCTGGTTGAGAACCATTGTTGTGCTATCTCAGTTTACCTAAGTCAGGGGTTGTCAACTGGGGGTATGCGTACCCCTGGGGGGTACTTGAGCTGGCCCTAGGGGGTACACATGGGTGGAGATGGAGTGCTATCACGCATCATCCCGTGCTGCCATGCAGGCACCTCCCGCCCAGCTGGACGTGGTGGGGCAGGGGAAGCTTGCATGCGGCAGCTGCTGCTACTCTGCATCTGGCTGTTTGGCCCTCCTCTCACTTACCCTCTGGCTGGGGGTACACTGCTCCATGTCTGGCCAGGGGATACAATGATTCAAAAAGGTTGAAAACCCCTGACCTAAGTGGTTCTCAACTGGGTGCCACTGGCAGGTAAAAACTTCGCCACATGCCTGGTGCACAGCCACAGCAGGAAGGACTGAAGCATAAGCAGTCTCTTCTGCCTGCTTAAGGCTTAGCAGAAATCCGAGGAGCGCACGCATGCAGAGCCCTTCCCAGTCTGGCTGTGTACCAGGCATGTGGGGTGCTTCTGCCTGGTGGCTGCTGTGCAGTGGCAGCACCTGCACAGTGGCACCCCTCAAGTGGTCTCACAGTACCCTGGTTGAGAGCCACTAATCTAAGGCACTAGCATGCTGTCCATGGTGGGAGGTGTTCGCAGCTGCAGGAACTAGAAGCTTGTTCTGTAGTAAAGGAAGCCTGTATTATGTAGGGGCAAATACTGCTGTTGAGCAGTTCAGATGTGTGGCCCCACAGGCTTTGTGTCACTGTTCCCACCGGCCTTCCTAGACAGCATTGGATAAACCCATCCTAAAGAAACAATGTGCTGATTGAACAGCTGATGTGAGTGCCTTTGGCCCAGTGATACATCAAGCACCAGCTCTGCCAGTGGAATGTCCGGGGATGGGTCAAGTCTGGGGGGATGGTTGGTGAGAGAAGACTTGGGCAAGGTGAAGAGGATAGAAAGATTTTGCTGAAGAGAGTAGCCTGAGGAGCCCCCATGAGAGGCTGGGGGCTCTCTGTCCTTTTGCTCACGTGTTCTCTCTCAGTATTTCTGCAGTGCAGTGGCTCTGTAATGCCGATAAGAAGACGCACAGTCCTCCCAAACGCCTGTATCGATTCTTCTCAACCCTCTATTCTGCCTTGGTGAGTGTGGCCCCTTCTCAGCCAGCCCTTCCTCCTCACAGTACATCTAGTGAGAGGATCTCCTTTCAGGCTGATCTGTCCCTCTAGCATGGTCCCCCGCTTGACTTGGACACTGCTACCTACTCCAGCTACACTATGGTGTTGGGTCAAACTCCCTGGGCTAGGCAGGCAGAAGCCTGTTTTGGGTGAGCAGTTCATAATCTCCTTTACTCTCTGCAGGCCCGGGGATCACGTGCTGTCCTGCAGCTCTACCCTGAGAACTCCGAACAGGTATGTCACTTTTTCCCCTGCTGGGAAAGGGGACATGGGTGGTGCAAGGTGGAAAAGCACTGTCCAGAGCTTGACTGCAGTTTCCAGACTTTTTTTTGAGTGCTGCTTTGAGTGCATGTGGTCTTGGTCAGTGCTGTATTGGTGGAAGCCTCATGACACTCCTGAAGTGGGGACATCCCAATATGGTGGTTACACTCTGGTCCTTTCTGGAATCATGCTGGAGCTCATGGAGTGCACCATTAACCCATTGCTCTACAGACTGTGTTTGAGGAGTTGAATCTTAGAGCAAGCAAAGGGCATGGCAGGTTGTGGATTAAGCATTTGATTTGCCAGATTTCCTATGGTCTGGTCAAATTGGAAAGCCAGAGTCTTCGAGCTGTGGTTGAGCCACTGGGTTTTTGGGCAGAGATAATACTAGGCAGACTGCTTCCTTACAACTGGGAGTTTGGATGTGGAATTTGCTTTGATAAGGGGATTTAGTGCAGAAGTGATGAACATAATCTGCGTAAGACTCAGCCGGCAGTTCTGTCTCACATTGTTGGGTGGATGGCTGGCTGGCTGGTTGGCTAACTGATGACAGCATGTGTTCTTTGCAGCTGGAGCTCATCACTGCTCAGGCCATGAAGGCAGGTTTCACAGGAGGGATGGTGGTGGATTATCCTAACAGTGCCAAAGCTAAGAAGTGAGTTTTGTGTCCTTGTGGGCTGGGGCATGGTTTGGTTATTCCTGCTGAGGGCTAATTTACCAGACTCCTGCAAACACAGTGGCATGTCTCCCTCATATGGATATCTTGCTCTAGGGCAAAGGTGGTAGCTCATAATGTGAAGCAAACCCGTGAGAGATTCGTCCTTTCTGAATGCACTCTGTCCCATATTCAGCTTCTTGTAATTACGAGGTGGCTGGAAGCCAGCTACACCTGCATTCCCAATCCCAGAAAGAAACTGCATGCTCCCATTTCTTATCTCTCTGGTCTCTCTTTCAGGTTCTTTCTCTGCCTCTTTGTTGGTGCATCTGGTGTGTTACCAAAGGTAATAAGCCCCAGCTTGGGGTGTCCGCATACTGGGAGGCATTGGGGTATGGGAAGTTGCTGCTTCTTAGTGAGTGATCCTCTTTGGTGCATAGGAAGTAGAGCCTTCTGCAGGAGTCTGCGGTTCAGGGTAAAGACATGCAGTTCAAAATAACTAGTCTGGATATGGGTAGGGGGTCAACCCCACATTGCTCTGCACTGCTGTAGCAAGTTCACAGTTCTATGTGGGAGAATCTGTCTGCAGTACAGACATGCCATCTGTCCAAAGCCATGGGCAGCAGGACCTCATGTCCCTAGGGCTCCCTGGTGTTTGCATGGTACCGTCCGCCTTCAGATAGAGCTGAGTTCCATGGTCCAGCCTTGGCCATACTTATTTCAAGCATGGAGGGGCTGCTGGTCCTGAGCTCATTTCTTCCCTGAGAGCTTGGGATCTGTGAGGAAAAGGGTATGCTGTCCTACCTAATGTTAGCTCATCTTGTCCCAGCTTTCCATGCAGCCAGCTTGGTGCTGTTTTGCTTTTACCTCAAGTGCTGGTAGATGGATCAGTTTGCTTCTTTCCCACAGAATAGTCTTTCCCCTAGATTTGCTGGCATCTTGCTCCTGGAGTGACCCTGCCCCTCCATGTGGTGGCAGCTCCTGAGCTCTGCTTGATGACATTAAGGCCCCATTTTCTCTGCTTTCAGGGTCTTGGTGCTGAGTGTACTGATGGAGAGGAATCCCAGCAGGCCAAGTTTACCAATGAAAGGTACTGTGTTGGGGGTGCAGCTGCAGGGTGAGCTCCATGATAGGCATCTGACAGGAACCCAGCATGTTTGTGGGGCTTCAGGAAGACGAGTGTTGTGTCCTCCTTCCCCCCCACACCTACCCTCCTCCCACCTCCATGGAACGCTAAATTCCCTTCCCTGCTCAGCTGTTTATCTTAGTTTCATAGTTGGTAGGGTCGGAAGGGACCTGAGCAGATCATCAAGTTCAACCCCCTGCCATGGGCAGGACAGAGTACTGGGGTCAAACGACCCTGGCAAGGTGATTGTCTAGCCTCCTTTTGAAGACCCCCAGGGTAGGAGTGAGAACCACATGCCTTGGAAGTTGGTTCCAGATCCATAGTTTCATAGTTTCTAGGGTCGGAAGGGACCTGAGCAGATCATCTAGTCCGACCCCCTGCCTTGGCAGGAAGAGCACTGGGGTCAACTGACCCCAGTAAGGTGGTCATCCAGCCTCCTCTTAAAAACCCCCAGGGGTGGAAGCCTG